GAGCGAGCATCTGCGTGGGTCTTGGCTGCTGTCCGGGGTTAAATCACAACACAGCAGCTTTTACAGGGAGTGACCACCAGGATACAAGGAAGCAACAGAGTGCACTACAGAGAGCCAAGAAGGGAGGCAGCAATGGTCATCAGCATTTTAGAGCAAAATGAGCTATGCCTGAATGTTGCTTTAATAGTGAGGGGTTATTTTCTCCTTGCTGCAATGCCTTAGTAGTGCCATTTTAAATACCAGACAGATCTCTTGACCCCACCACATAAAGAGAAAGGCCAAGATTTGCTCCCAGGGGTCTGCCTCGGTCATCCCTTCCTGTTCCTGCCCAGCCCCACCCAAGCACCACTCCCACATCTGCAAAAAGTCAGATGATCCTCATAGTTAGTTGCTGGAACCCGAACTTGTTTAATGCAGCCAAGTACTTAAACACAGCACGCTCTTGAAATGGCAGAAAACAGAACAGAAATCAGTGCATACTGATAATGTCAGAAAAGAGGAAATAACTTCATATCTAATATTTTTTGCGATATATGTAAATTTAAGGAGATAGATATAGATATAGATAGTATATGATCTCCACTCAACAAAGCCAGGTGAATAAATAGGACATGAAGCTGGGATTGATTTCAGTGGAAATTGACGGAAGAGGGAGGTATCGACCAAAGCTAAGATGGGTTCAATACTCATCTTAAGGAACAATAAATCACAAAAAAACCCCAACCCAAATCAATATATGTACTATAGCAATCTTTCTAATGGCAAGGCTAAAATTTCATGTTCAACAGGTGTCACTCAAACTGCAAACAGAAGCCATAGTAAAGTTTAAACACTTGGCTGTAGCATTCTAAAAATAGGAAAATACTGTGTAAAATCAATACTATGAAAATGGTTTATGATCCTTTTTTTTAAAGTCCCTCATTGCAATTGCAAAAACTTCCACCAAATTAGTAACATTCTAAGGCAGAAGGAGCATATAATGTTACTGCACTCAGTCTGCCAGCAGCCTGAATACATGGGCTTTTTTCCATGGCCAAAGTGACTGGCTATCACTGAAGTTATGCAGAATCTTTTCCATTCCAAGAGTTAGTGGTAACAACAGAATTTTGTGTGTTATTGTAGAAGGAATTAAAACTGGCTGATCAGATTTGTAACATACAACTGCACTTTTTTTGGTGCCTGCTATTTGCTGAAATTTGCTTAACTATTAGTAAAGGTGAAGAATTGAGAAATTAACGAAATGCCTTTTAAGGAAGGGTCACCAATGACTAATGAGGCAGGCACACTGAGCAAAGCACAGAAAAACTGATGACTCCTGAAAGAAAGATACAAGTAGTTTATTTATCGTTGAAGATGTCACCTGGGCAAAGTATGGAACTCAGGAAAGGTTCAGGCAGGAGGCAGTAACTAAGGAACGTTATTTTTGGAGGGCATTTTAGTGCAAAAAAAAATTCTGAACTGAAACCTTCCTTTTAAAAAATGTTGTGAAAACCTTGGCAGGGAATCACAGAGTTGTAGGGACCCACAGATCCTGTTAATCTTTACTGTGGCAACAGGCATGAGAGCTTCTCAGACTTGAAGGACAGGGAAGAAGGCAGAAGACTCTGGAAAATATTTGGCAAGTTCTTCTCTGGTATTTGCCACTTTGGGAGGATCTAAGGGTGTTCTGAAGCCAGGCGGCTCATCCCACTCACCACTGATAGAGCAGCACAGCTCTGGCCTGGGCCGAGGGAAGGAAGCCCTGCAGCTTGTACAGCTCAGCATGGCAAATCTCCCAGGAGAAAGTCTGGAGCTATGGGGCTTTCTCATTCCTCCTTCTGATCCTTTTATTATTTTCCATGAGATTGTGACACCAGTTTCAACACCCTTCAAAGCTGCAGCAAAGGCAAAACTTGTCCCAGAGGCTGTGCCTCTATGAGCAGAGTTTCAGATTTTAGAAAAAGAGAAGGAAGGGAGGGAGGAAGGGAGGGAAGAAGGGAAGGAGGAAGGGAGGGAGGAAGGGAGAAAGGAAGGAAGGAACCGAACACACACCAATCACACCTTCTTCTGCCTAGCTGGCAAACAGAACAAGTGCACCATTTGCTGGTCAATATAACCTGATACCTTTCTTATCAGCTGTTATGCAGCTTCTTTTGAACTGCTTGCTTCAAAACAGACTTACCACAGACACTTACTAGAGATACTGACCATGGTAAAGCAGATTGTCCAAGGTGGCAAACACAGCTCTCTCCAAAATCTGACTGTCCCACCATCTGCTATGAACAGTACCACCTCCCTATCTCCATCGCAGCAGCAGACTGAGACATGTTAAACTTACAGCAAAACTGGCTCATTTAGGCCTGCTGCGAAAGGAAGTCTCAGAGAGCTCAGAGCAGGCACAGATACCATCACTCAATGTAGTTTTTTGCTCCATGTGTGTTTAATGGCTAAGGAATGGTGAAAGCACAACTACTTTTTGTTCAAGAAAAGCTGCTTGAAAATTTACTGACAAAGCTATTTTTCAGTGGAAAATTAGGGGCTTGAATAATTCATGTTTTACTGCAGAACACATCTGTATGGATTTTTCATAGGAAACCAATAAACCACAGTCTCTTTGCCATGATTTTTAAAAAAAAGTATGCTTTTTCTTTTTAGCCAACTATTTTCCAGTTACCAAAACTCAAAATGTTTTGATTTGTCCATAAGAAGTGAAAAATTTCCACTAAAGAAAACTATTCTCCTGATGTTTCTCTCTGACAGCAATGATCTTAACACAGTGCTACAACCCAGGTGTGGAAGATCTCTCTGGAAGATCAGTGTGCAGAGCTGTCACATTTGGGTTTCAAACAGGAGCAGAACTGGTCCCAAAATTCTTAGCGGGCCAGCACAAAAAAGAGTTAGGAATGTTTTGTGGTGAATTTTTTTCCATATATGACTTCAGCTAGACTCTTGGCTCTCAGCCATTCAAAACAAAAAATCCTTTCAAATTTAGAGTGAACTTTGAGAGATACACGAGTAAGAGAGACTGCACAAAAATAAAAGCACTGGATAGAGCTCCTAAATAATACCAGGTAAGAAGGAATGACTTACAGATTTTTTACAACATTCATGATCTGTGTTTCTCAGTTCATTATCTGTATTTTTCTAATAGAGGCTTCAAAGAGCATATTTTGATTGATTTATAACACTCTCTATTAGGAAAATATTATGCTAAAGCATAGCTCAAAATACCCTTCTCCAAAATAAGGAGTACTATCCCATCCAGAACAGTAAACCCGTCACGTACTGGTGAAGAAAATTAACTTTGAATGTAATTTTCTTAGCTGTAAGAAAGATCATTGGTTTGGTATGCACACATGCTCTTTTACTTCTTGTTTTTAAAACATAACTTTAAAGCTAGGCACTTACATAACAGGGAATAGTTAAAGGCAGACTTATGTTGCCATGAAATGGAATTAGTAGAGTCTTACTATTTGCCTTAAATTGGCAAGCATTTGACTTTTTTACATAATCCAACATCTGCTGGAAGCTGTAGGATGTTCCTGGAAAATACCTAAAACCTCTTTATTTTTTTTTATTACTGGAAAAATACTACAGGAAGTAGTGGTTCTAGCCTGTAAAATATTAATATCCACAGTTAAGCTGATTTCTGCAGAGGCAATATTTGGAGTCTAAAAACCTGTATTGGAGAATTTCAATCTGAACTCATCATTGTAGAAAAATCTAGTACAGTCCTTTTATTTTTATAGGTCACAAGTGAATTTGGCAAACACACTTCCTTGGCCATTTGAAACAAAAGTATTTCACAGAGATGGTGCACATGGTCCCCAGAGATGCCATCTTTTCTCTGCAGTCCATCTGATATTAGCAAAGCCTGCAGACATGCTGTGTCTTGTCACTCTGAGATGGAAAGTACTCAAGGCAAGGAGTGGCTGCAAGTTGCCTACGAAACTAGGTTAAAATAAGAGTGAAGTGAACAAGATTTACTATTTCTTGGTACAGCCTGCCAAAGAAAACTGCATGTACCTCATTTTCAAGAAGGTTTCTTAAAGAAACTTGAAATTAGTGGTGGCACTTTGAGCAGCCTCAAGCATGCTAAGTAATTAGGGATTTCATCTATGAAACTACTTGGTTTGGTTAAAGTTCAAAGCAAAACTGAGCTCTCTGGTAACTCCAGAAGTGCACTGCAAGCCTGAATGATGCAAACAGCACTCCCTTTAGCATGAGAATATCCAACCAATTTTCCTCTGACAGAATGGTGGCCTGTGCATTTTTTTCAAAGCCTTCCAGGTCTGAAATTGACTTCCAATAGAAGAGCAAATCAAGATCGATTTCAGTTCATACTTCTGAGGTGTCCAAGAGCACTTAAACATGGTCTGCATATATAGATATGGTGTACAAAAGTCCTCTATCAAGCACAGTATAACTCTAAACAATAAAGCAATAGTCCCCTGTACAAGAGATCAGCTTCTTCAGTAGCCTGATTTAACTGTAGATCAAATTTCAACAGGAACTAAGAAACAACAGTAATCTACCCCAGATTCTGCAGCAAGTGCAAAGGTACTCCTTCTATATCATGTTCTTCAACAAGCTTACAGAACAATCAAAACATTACCAGAGATAAAAAGTACTTTCATGCATATATCTTTAGGAGAGAAAATGAAAAAGAACCAAATTTAGCAGGTACGTGTTTTGTTATGAAACGCTCTACTGAAAATCACTCAGTCACATTGATGAAGTTAGTATAAGAAGTCATCAGGAATCAAACTGATCTGATTTAGTTGTCAAGACTATGATGAACTACTCTGCTGCATTTTTTTCAAGATGGATGTATCTAATGGAAGAATCCTCTCATTTTGTGGAAAATTAGCTGCACAACTGAGAAGGTCTATAATTTGGCTTCTAACCTTACTTGTATTGGAGTTTATAAGCTTTACCTTTGTGAAAGAATGCTGTATCAGTACTACAATTAGTGATCACATTTAGTAATTAATGAATGAATTAAGTCCAATTATTCTTACTGTGATAAGGGTCCTCATGCCTGGGATCTTCCACCAGTCTCCTGTTTTCAAGGATTGTGACTGTATATCCATGTTTTGCCAGGATGCGCTGACAGAGCTGACGCTCAGTTTCACAGTGGGCAGGAGGTGCATGTAGAACTGCTCTTCTTGTATGGCTTCCAAAATACTGAAGAATGGAGTCATCAATCTACAGCAAACAGAGCAAAGACAATGGTTGTAACAGGTCACTCCTCAGCACTCTGAAATATAGTTGTTATTTTTCACAAAAAGAAACTAGTAACTTAGTGTGACAACATGGTAAATAGTTCTGGTATAATTAAGAATTCTCTTTATATCAGGGACTTCTGACCACCAATTCCATTTTGTCTGCCTCTTCATTTTTTCTGCCTTCATTTTGGACTGACACTGAAAAGGTTCAAAAGCTCAGGGTAGCACTCAAGGATCTTTAAACCATGGTCTTCCCTCCATGGAAACACCTTTTCCTAAAATCTGGGCAGCAACATTGTCAGTCTTCCGTGTGTATTTGCCAAATGTGCAATCCAAAACTAGTTTAGACACTGGGATATTCACGAACAGGTTGATCACTTGCTGGCCAGAAGAAGCACACATAGCACCAGGTGAAGTCATAGGAACTGCGTTAGGTCACCAGTCACATAGTGTTCCTGATGTCCCAGCATTTTAAAACACATTAATCGGGTGGCAAGGACAGTGTTAGAGAGTCTCTGATGGCCCTTCCCCACCACAGCACCCGTCGCTCTGCTCTGTCCCCTTCTGCCTTTGCCCCTCCTTCCTCTTATCTTCCTTTTTTCCTGCTCTCTTGCAGCGCCAGCCCTCCCTGGCAGTCCTTCCTCTCCATTTCCCTCCCTCCCTCCCTCCTTCCCCATTCTGAATTCCAACCCCTGTCCCAGCCACCCTCTTGTGCTCCCTCTCCCTCCTCTTCCAGGCAGTCCAGCCAGACACTTCCCACTTTCCATTTCACTTGCATCGTGGAAGAAACGCAGAGGATAGAGACACCTCTTGCTTTATTTTGCAAGAAAATCCCGTTTTCCATTCCATGTGTGCTGCAGGGGTCAGTGCTCAGGGTGAACCGAGGACACATGAGGAGAGCAGAGGGGCTGCAGCCCAGGACATGTCCCTGCTCTGTTTTCACTGCTGGTTATTGTTTCTCCTGCTCCCATTCCTCCAGGTGCAGCCTGGGTCCTGCCTTGGGTATGGCTGGATGTGTGTGCTCATCCTCACTAACGGTTACCACATTTCTATTGTGCTACCAAAACACACCTTTCTTCATGAAAGCAAAGCTTCCTGCAGTGTTACCTCTGAAGTATTTTGCTTCAAACAAGCATTAAGAGGTCCTGCTCCAGCACCCAGCAATGACTCCATTTCCCTGTGGGCAGCACTCCAAGGTTGGTGGGCCTGGCTGCTCCCTCGGAGCCCACGTCTGTGGCAGTGGGGCCCAGCTGTGCCCCAGCTGCTCCTTCCACCTGGCCAGTGAGGCACAGGGGACAACCAGCCCCAGGGAATCCTGAGGAACCCAGGGGGTCAGGCTGAGCCAGCCTGCCTGCACCAGGATCTGCCAGGGAAGGGGCTCTCCCTGTTGCCTCCACATTTGCACTGATGCGGAAGGCTGATGTAGATGGCATCTTCCCCAGTTCCCTAGGGAAAAGGAGTAATGTTTACAACTCGCTAGTTTGGCAGTGACGAATATTCAACCAAACACTGATAGCAGCATTAAAAAAAAATACAAAAAATCAGGAAGTTCAGGCAGTGGCAGTGACCTGGGTCATTTCCACAAAGCACAAAGGGAAATGGCTCTGAGCAGCTCCACGGGGCCCAGGCAGCAGCCAGGTCCCACCAGGCAACTCCTGTGGGTGCTCAGAGGGTTCCTGACAGCCCTCGCAGAGGAGCACAGCACTCACTGCTCCAGAAGGCTTTTCTTGGGATGCTCACTCCAAAGACACAAAAATCCCTCAGGCTGCCAGTGTCCAAAGCCTCCAGCTGCAGTGCTGGGAGGGACAGAGCAGGGACACACTTGTCTGTGCCCCTATCCTCCCCTCCCACTGCCCAGGCTCTGGGCACAAGGTGCTTTTATCCACCAGCTTCCCAGAGAGGCATGATGGGATCTCTGAGACAATTCAGGATCCTAAATTTAACAGCTTGACCTGATGTCTAATCTGGTACTATTAAATAATATGAAGTAGCTTCACACCTTTTAGGGTGCTTGCTTGTGATCCACGTGTAGTGTTGCCAAGTTTATTTCCTCTGACCTTTCCTTTCAGAGCTATTTGCAGTCCAGGTTACAAGATGCAATGTGTCCTCTCCATTTTCTTGCCAAGGCAGTGCAACATAGTGTGGGTTTTTTCTTTTGTTATGAATCCCTTGTTAGCTATGCATAATTTTAAAAAGATCTGGCCAACTGAATGTTTGTAGCAAGAGATTCCATAATTTTTTCAAAGCTCTGTATAAAGTGCTTTGCATCACTGGCCATGCTGATCTAGTTACTACTGGATGTTTTTCAGAATTTCCAATATTATAGCAATAGCAGTCATGTTCAAATATTTAAAGAGTCTGCTGGTTTTCATAAAATGTTTCTCAATCATAAAAAAGTGGTCTAGGCATAGAGTTGGTAAAAGAGAAGCAGAGTGCAGTAGATGAAAATAAGCTCTTCACATATTTCCACATTTTATGGTTCTGACTTTTTTTGGCAGTCCTATGACTTTAATGAGCAGCAGACTTAGACAGAAAAAAATGGATCCACAACATTTTGAGAATTTGAGAATAGTTAAATGGTCAAATGTTATGTCCCAACCATTTTTTAGCTCTTGCTCAGTTTGAAGGCAGTTTGTTAGCAGATGAGTTTATTACAGATTCAATACACCTTATGTGAAAGGAATTAGTAGAGAACATCTGCAGCCCATGTCTTACCCAGAGAATAGTGTGTTTGTCTCCACAAAAATTAATGAGGCTTTACAGCAAAGCTGAGATTGCCCATATGATTTAGGGTGAGACCTATGTCAGCTTTGCCATGATATACCTGCTCTTAAAGCTTGCAAAACACTGCACTTAGTTGAGCCACTGACTTCATTTTAGTGCAACTGGCTATTACACAGATGATCCACAGCCTTAAAAACTGGTCTAAACAAACCACAATGGGCTGTAAAGTGAATAAAAATGCATAAAAATGAATGTTGTAATTTTGCTTTCAGTTTATAGAGTAACATGAAAAAGCACAAAAGAAAACAAATTGAGCTCCATTAAAATTTATTATGGGCTTTTTTTAAATTTCCAAATCAAATGTCTATTCCTTTGATGCCTTAACAAACAAGATAAATGGCCCAGTTTATACAATATGAAAGCTCAAGGATTACATAACCATCCTTGTCCAACTGAAAATAGACATCCATTATCTGAGTCGCAATTCTTAGTTCTGTCTGTCTGCAAGTTCCACATAGCTGTGAAGTCCTCTGTTAAAGAGAAAATGTTTTGACATTTTCCTTGAAACCCATATATCCAATTCTAGGTTATGAACATGTAAAGATATAACAGATTATATTAGTCTCTGAAGCTTTCCATTGTACAGAAGTTCTGGATTGTTCCAAAAATCCAAAATTTGGTCAGTAATTGAATCTTATGATATATAATTACTGGCTTTGTTTCGGCCAAGAAGAAAATAGCAAAGATATTTCAAGTTGAGGAGACAAAAACAGCTCCTTGGCAGTTTTTTCAGATTCCAAGAAGATTGCATAATTCCATAAATATTGATGCATTGTCTATGCCTGGCAAAGGAGCAAATATACAGTTTGAACTGTTGCCATAGAATTTCACTGACCATTACTTCAACTGCAGAAACAAAATTCTTCTTCCTAACATAATGGCCCAACTCCTGCCTGCCTAAGCTTCTTCCAGGACAGAACTCAAAAACTGTGAATCATCTTTTCAGCTACCCAGTTCTGGTGGCATTAGTGCCTCTCTTGATTACAGGGAGCTACTTTTCACGCCAAGCTAGCCAAGACTATCAGTCTTGGTCCAGTAGCTTCAAATAACTTGACTGAAGCTTACTTTAACCCCACTGCTTTCTGCAGGTACTGAGCTGCTGCAAAAGAGATATATGAGCCACTTTGCAAACCAAAAGGCCTTTGCATGACAGGGGAGTGCAACAGAAATACCTCAAAAGACAGCCAACCTTATGTAAACAACACTGGCACTATTAGCAGTATTCACAGGCAGTGAACAGCCTACATTCCCATTTAGTCAGCAAAGGAAGTTTGTATCTACCTTTGGTGCTAAATATAACCTAGCAGAACAACATTACAAAGAAGTTCATGAGTGGGACCCTAGAAAATGCTGCACTAATATTAAACAGCATCGATAAGAAGAGTGATAATAAAAACTTAGCATGTGGTTCTAATGCCCCAAGTCATTCATTTACAGGACTATGCAGACCTTTATTAACTCCAAATGTGACTTTCAATTTCTTTTTTGTGTTTGAATAAAAGTTCATAGAAATAGTAAGTTGTTCATACTACCATTATATTTAAAGTGCACATAGCTCCAGTATCAAGAAGTAAGAGAGAAGTTAATTTCCTGTTTCACTTTCTGAAGGATATTTAAATGTGTTGGCTTTATGGTCTCCTAGATTTCTTAATCAGAAAGGACTTGCTTGTAGAATGAAATGGCTGGAATGTAATTCTGCTTCCAACTGTTTGTTGAATAAATACAGAACAAGCAACTAGATTATTGGCACTAGTTTGATGGATGGTTTCTGATGACTTCATAAATCAAAGTGCAAACCAGGAGTTATTTGCACAGCCATCATCAGCACACTGAGCTGCAAGTACAGAGCTATTTTATCAAAATGCCTTTGCTTTATGCTTGCATGTAATTCATGGTACCAACTACCCTGTATTGAGAACAGACAATGAGCCAATCTTACCATCTTATAAAATACAGCTCCTGTTGAAGAAAGAGCTCCAGCGAAGTATATGAGTGAGATTCTGCCTCCATTTCCCTTTGCTGCTGTTGCATCCTTCTCAAAGTTCCCTTCCTGCAAAGTCTCCACCCTGCCCCTCTTTCCTGACTGCTTCCACAATAGCCTTGCCCTTTATCACCAAAATATCTCTAGATATCTGCTTCATAAAAATAGCTGTTTCCTCAGTCCCTTTTGCACTTTATTTTGACAAGTAGAAATGTCCTACTTGCATAGGGTGCAATGTGAATGTGGTATAATTCCAAGGAAACAAGTTGCTGATACCATACCTTATGTCAATTGCTTTCTATTAACAGAGGTTTCATACTAGCAAAGTTTTCTGTTCTTTTGTGAGGAGAAAAGAACTCTCAGCCTCCTACTGTATTCTAGAAAATAAATATCCTTTCTATGATTAAATTTACTTTTAAGATATATCAAACCTTATTATGCATAATGTAATCTTTTCTATCCAGAGCTCTCACCATGCTTCTGTTTTGCATAATAGCAAAAATCATCCCTTCTCATTCTATCACTCAGCTTCAGTTCTCCTTTTTTACATATTTACATTTCAAAAGTTCCCATTAGCTTTGTCTTCTTTTCTTTTCAGTTCCATTCTCATCTCCCTTTCTTTTCCCCTGCACAAATACAAACCCCTCTGTGCACAGTCGCCTCTGTGCCTTCTGAGGTTACTATTACTTTGCAGATGTAGTTCCCTACTCTCCTCCCACATCTGACTCCTTTCCCCATGCCTTCTTCCATGACACACTCCTCTCCTGTCTCCCTTGTTTGCTGCTTATTCTGACTAAAGCAAGTATATTCCATCCAAAAAAAACAGTATAAAAAAAAGCCATGTGCCTTTAGATTTGTTTTAAATGTCTGCATTGTCATGATGAATTCTGCATTAGAGGCAGTCATTTCTATTGACTATGAAGTCCAGCTCTGGCACTGACAAGATAGAGTGGAGCACTCAAGGAAGGAGAGGATAATTCTACTCTGGATGTCCAGAGTTGTAAAGTTCTAGCAACAATTTCTCAACCTTTCAGTAATTGCACTCCTGATTTTCAAATATAGGTGCCTGGGCCAGTAATCTATGCAAGATACTCAACTGGATCTTCCCCTAGATCTTGGTTAAGGCTAAAACATGATGTTTCTCTTTCTTATGTATATATATTGACCATGGCTGGAGAGCTAATATGCCAAAAAAGTGCCTACCCCAGGAGCAATACTGTCCCACTACATCCTTCCGACAGCAGAGGTACTACATCTACCTGGGCAAAATGCACTGCTGTGCAGAGACACCTAAGTTGGGTCTGGCTGAATTAATTCAGAGAGTGGACACACTGCTTAACCAGCTAATTAGCTCGTAGAACTTGCTGAGAAGCAGAGATAAATTACATAAGATGAGTGTAACAGATTTACATCTGGCTAGTGCCAAAAGTATTTCTGGCACAATACCATGCCAGGCAACGTACACACAGGGCCTGTATGGGCTTTTTTTATTGGTAACTACTTCAGTTTCAATGCTACAGCACCAGCTCTTTTTCTTACTATCTATATTCACAAATATTTCATCATGCAGGAGGTTAAGAGTGCCCTGCTAAACCTGCAGACAGCCTGCTGCTGGATGTGATATCACTCTCTAATGCCTTTAATGTTGGAGATTCAGAAATGAGCCTTCTATTTTTCATGCTACAGGTATTAACATTTAATTTTATACTAGAAAATGTTGACCTCTGTTCCTGTGAATTTAAAGCTACAGGACCAGATCCTCAGCAGCTTTTAAAACTCCTGTCATGTGTGATACCCAAGAGAGGAGGAGTATGAGCTCTGTCAGGTATCCCAGGCTGTGAATGAAATCTGTATTTTTGCAATTTAAAAAAGACAGCTTGCACTATGTGTCCAACAGGAGGGGCTCCATTCCAGAGCATCCTGGATGTCATTAAAGACACATGTACCAATCAGATTGGCAATTTCCATACCCATGCTTCTTCCACATTTGTCTGGTACTCTCCCTTCCAAAATCAGGTGAATGTTGATATCAGAGATGCACTGGCAAAGCTGCACTTTTTGTCAGATGTCTCCCTTTGCTTCCAACAAATGGCTTATAAAAAGTGCCAGGTTTTTTGTTTATTTGTTTTTGGTTTTGGGTTTTTTTTAGGCACTTAGTGCTACGCATACTCTGAATGGAGAAATTATCAGACTTTGAATGGGGATTTTGCTCATGACAATCAGAACCAAATTGTCACAGCAGGCTCAACACCAATACAGACTGTCTCTCTGATGGAAGCAAGAATAAAACCTGGCCCTACCCAGTCAGAGGAGAGTCTGCAGTGTGACACATGCTATGGCTCCAACCCCAGAAACACTGGGCGTTACCCAAAGAATATTGTCTCCAGAAGGGTCTTATTTTCCTTAAAATTTATTCATGAACTTTGATTTCATAAGACATGTTGCAGTGTTTGCTTTAAGTCACTGTTTAATTGGATGATAGATTCTTTTTAATTAATTGAAATTTGCTTGGTGGACTAGTTCTAGAATAAGAATACATATCTGACTAGTTAATTACAAATGTGAATAACTTGGACTATACTTTAAAGTATTTTTGCATATTCATACATGAAGATTTTAACCAGAGCTTTAATGAAAAGCTGTTGCCAAACTACCTAGTGTTGGTGGGCACATGACTGCAAATAAAGCAGTGTAAAGTTTCAACCATGACGTCTGTCTTAGATGTTACTGAGTACCCAGTATAATCAAGCCAGATAACAGTTCAACTATCTGAATAAGCAGTGGGCGAAAACACACAGTTCAAGAACACACTTTCAAAGCAAAGTGGTAGAGATCTTTGGAGTTATTTGACTTCTCTGTTCTCTGAGATTATTATTCAGCCCACACAACCAGCAGAGTATTCTCTGGAAACAGAGAGCAACTTAGAGTAACATCCCAACATGTGCAAGACATTTTGTTCATCATGCTCTAGAGGAAATTTGCAAGACAAATAGGGAGCCAGCTATGGGTGGTCTTCAGAACTTGAAGAGGAATGTGTTAGGGTAGCACAGCCCTGGAAAACATACCTATAAGGGTTAACATATGCACTTACATCTGTACTATAGGTTCAGCATGTGCATGCGATAGTCACATCCAGCCACGTATGCTGGAGAGCAGTAAGTACAGCATGTTGTAAAAACAAAAGCTTCCTTCTCATTTCGAACAGCAGCACACCAAGTTCAAAGTCAATCTGCATTTTTTCTCAGGCAAATTGCGAAAGCAGAAATTACATACATTTTCAGCCAAACAACATACTAGCAAAACTTTGCCATTGTTTCACCAGTTCTTACAGACTTTAAGTAGCCCAAAATAAGATATGAAATGTTCCTTGCCATGACAATAGCAATGAGTAAAAAGGAATGGACAGTAAGTGTCAAACGATGTAACACAATGCAACCTGCATATGTCAGATGTACTTATTTCCATTTAAATTGTAATTATTCATGTCACATTGCTGAACAAATCTGAACCTGTGTACCTAGTGTACTGAAAGACCATTAAAATATAAAATGATGACAAATGCAGCATGGAGTAGATTTCTGCAACTCATAAGATAAAACTCTGATCTTCACAAGAAAAAAATCAATTTTTTAAGAGTTAAGGTTAAAGAGTTCATGCCAAAGTTATTTCATGTATCTGTTTTTGATTGTGGCAGAAGATGCACTTTACAACTGTTCTCCTAAAATCAATATTGCTGACCTTTTAGACTGTGAACCCTGCCTGATCAAAGAAGCAGCCTTTATTTTTTTTTAGCTTGAACTGCTTTACGTGGATGCTGTCCATAATCTGTGAAGTCACAGATTGTTTATAGTCCTGCTACAGTTGTATATAAAATAATAGCATAATGATAATTTCACAGTGCAATATCTGCTGCAGTATTAGCAGCCCCTCTATGGGACTGAAGGAAATCTGAACCATTTGTGCTAGTGCTCATCACAGATTCCAGAGTAAAAATAACTACCTAAGTCTGAACCATTTAACAAACCACATTTTCCAACAAAAATAACACTGTCTGCATTTATTAGATTTTAACATCCATCTTAGGAACCCTATAACAAAATAAACATGAGGTCAGGTAACCTAAGGACAAAGTAAAATTTGTGAGACAAAGATTCCAAAGTATATAGTACGATTTGAAAATATGAAAAGTGCTTCTCTTATTTCTCAAATGCAATTAAACTCAGCTTCTCAGCAGAATCCCAGTAAAGTTCAAAGCTGACGAGCAGATAACTTTAACACAGGGCAGCTGCAGTCCCGGTACAAATTAACAGCCTCAGCCACTTTCCTGAAACCCCACTGGCTCCTGATTTACGTGCCTGTACTGTAAAGCCTCTGAACTGATTCCCAAAGCTAAAATAAAGTATGGTCTGTGCAGCAAACTGAAATCATGCTGGAGTCACAGAGCAATGCCATGCTTCAGTCGAAGATTTCAGGATTCCTGTGTTAGCAACAGCACACTGAGAAGCTGGTAATGGGGATGTGCTTGCACATATGCCGCTGTCATTAGATCACCCATTTGTTTGTATACAGATCTCAGACTTCCAAGCTTAGGCTAATTTTAGCTGGACTCAGATGATCCTGCCAGACTCGCTATTCCTTGCTTTGCTAATTATTGCTCAGCACTCTGCCACAGCTGACTTACCTTTTTCACTGTCTCTGAATTACTGCCAGGGAGGAAGCAGTGAGTGGTGCTTGGGGAGACCTCCTTGTATCTTCCTTGCTGTGTTTTAGTCAGTTTGTTGGGTGCAATCCCATTAACAACTGCTGAAAGGATGCTGCTGGTCATGAGAGGAGTCAGGGTCTGGCAGAACAGACAGATGGCCACCACTAAAGCCAGAAGGAAGGGACGAGGGCGACAAAGCCTGCGGCACCTGGGGACTTGCCCACAAACCATGGCCTCTTTGCCGTCCTCACTTCGCCCTTTGCCACATTGCAGACGCAGTCCTGGTAGGCATGCCTTGCCAGGGTAAAAAAAGTCAAAGGCACACTTTACCCAAAACTATCACGAGTTTTCCCATTTCTGCTGCTGATTGCTTTCCTGGTGCCTGGGAAGAAATCACAGGTTCCAGAGGAGCAGAGTCTTGGGGAGCACCTTCCCATGGGGGTACTGGAACAACCTGTGAAAAAACAACAAATGAGCAGCAGCAAACAGCAGCATGCCAAGGGGCATCCCACAAGGAGTTGTGGTGAGTGCTTCCACACTGTGCTCTCAGGAGAACAGACCTGCCAGCAGACAGGTGAGGAACCTTCACCCCCTTTGCAAAAGGAACTACACAGCCAGACAGTAGTATCCAAGAAAGCAAGAGGTTAAAGCTTAACACATCCCTTCCACAGCTGAAAAGAGTAAGAGAGTGTACCAACTTTGTGAACAATCATTTGCTGTTTTTTTCTCTCGTGCATTCTCAATTCCCACTTTGTTTTTACAGTTTCCTTCATTCCAGTCCTTTTAAATTTCCTCCTTCCTGTCAGCATGCACAGCTTTCTCTCTAAAAGTGATAATTTATCTGAAAACTGGCAAACTATGAAGATTTTAGTTTGCATTTGTTTTGTCCAGATTGCAAGTTCAAAGTTAGGTTTACTTACTTGGTTCTTACCCTGTTTGAAGTTTTCCGTTCTCCTCTAATGGGCTGCTGATTAAAACCACTTGGAACAACTCTGGCTCATGATCCCAGCTCGTCTCACACACTCAGAAGGCAGGCACACGCACATACACACGCCATCTGAAGCCAGTTGGACCACAGACTTCATATAAATAAAGGCTGGACTGCTCAGAGGGTGGAGCTAAACTGGCTCTGCTCGGAGCAGGCACAGGGCTTGGAGACGCAGCCTGAGGTCTGGATGGGGAACAAGAGGTGTCCTTGCTCACGCTGCATGCCTCGAAGCCACCATCACTGCAATTTTTAGCAAACTGCTGTTACAGTGATTAGCCTAATTGTAGCAATATTAATACCTTCCGGGGAGCAGCACCTGCAATATTTTAATCCAGATTAACAAAAAAAGTTGTAAAATGAGCAGATTTACTTTGACATCAGCGTCACTGACAAAGCAGTTGTCAGTAAGTTTCCGTAGTAGGTATAATATCTCATAGCAGTGTATAAATAAAACTTCTTACTGATGTCAAAGAGGGAAAGAAAGGAGGGCGGACAAAAATACTCCAATGAAAGGACTTAGTATCTAAGCCACAGAAGGTCTTAGTTACTACTTCCCCCTGCTGACACAGGACAGGGACGAGACAGAAGGGAACAGTTGACAAACTCAGTTATCTTTATAGACTGAAACTTCTCATATAATCAAGTCATTTTAGCAAAAAATATCTGTTTATAAGCCATCTATTTTTCTTCCATCCTTAGTTAACTATTTTTTGAAAATAAAGTTCTTGCTACACTGCCTCATATATGAAAAATGAGCATTGTTATGATAACTTTGAGCCAATCTATGCAGTTTAACAGCTGCAGAAGCCTTAGCAAGTTAGAGGCCTATATACAGCAAGGAAGTATTGTACATATTTTGTATATATTGTTTGAAGGGCAGGGTTTATTCAGCTTTCAAATATTTTTTGTTTTCAAGACTAAACCCATCAATTTGCACACATAGAAAAATGCCACAGAAGTGACTGAACACCTCATGCAAGACCTCAGCTGTCACATGCACTGCATTTTAGTTTTCTCTCTGGGGTTGTAGTTGTCTAAATGAGACTCTTGGGTTATCCTAAGCAGGAAAAGAGTACTCCAGTTGCCTGTACCCTCCTGTGGTAGATGCTTGCCAGAGCAACTCCCGTCTCCGCTCCCTGGAGACATGCTGCTCTTGCTCCCTCTTTCCCAGCAAACCAGTTCACATCCTCAGGCCCTGCTCCAGCCAGCCTGTGGTGCAAAGTCTCTGGCAAGCCAACAAATCTGGCTAGTGGACACTGGAAAACCCTGGGTATTCCCTGAAGCTGCCTGTGGGGTAGGTCTCTGCTGTCCGATGGAGAGGGGTACTCAGGGAGCTGATACACTCAAAGGAGTATGCAGAGGCACTACCACCACAGCAACCCCATCAGCAGAAGAGGAGATCATAGAGAGTTGTTTTATTGTTTTAAGATGTTGTCCTATGGTTTTTGGCATGCCCTGATATCTGGATCCACAAGCACCAGCTGTGTGGGTGGCATTTGCATGCCAAATTCTGAGTGATGGCATTTTAGTTAGATCTTTGCATGCTGTTGTTAGAAGACTTGATTAAAACCAGTTTATAAAGATTTGGATTAATGGTTGCTTCATGATGTGGAGATCATACCCCCTTGGAGAATCCTACACTAGAACAAAATAATCCTCTCTGTTCTCACCCCCTACTCCCTTAGTTACCTTCAGGACAGCACGTAACTGCACTCTCCTTCCAGCCCAACATCATTTCCCCTTTTCAAGCACTTAAGTGGGATATTTATCCTCACATTTTCCCCAATGTCTCAGAATCAATTCATCCTTCCTGCAACCCCAAAATCACTCATGGGCCCCAAGGCTTTGAGACAAGTGGGCAATTTTTACTCATTTACTGTACCAAGACTGATACTGCAAAAACAGGTGAAGGACTAGCAAGCAAAGGGCAGGCAGCTCACTCTGCCTTATGTATACCCCTGGGAATCAGCCTCCTGTTCATCTGCTTTTCACAGGTGTTTTGAGGAGTGAGATGGATTTTTCTCTGTTTTGTGGTTTCTTTTCATGACAATAGCATGTAATGCACATTTCTTAAGCTGTAAATCCTTTTCTCAATCACAGCTAGAGTGCAATGAGTGTGATTCCTATTATCTTTAGAATCAAGATTCTACTACATCTCTGAGCTTACATGTCTACTGTCTTGTCTGGTCACATTCTGACACTTCAGAAATTAAGTCAAGACTACTGCATATGGGGACTAGTTCCCCCAGAACTAACAGGTCACTTGGGAAAAGGATATAAGTGGATAAAGAGTCAGGCCTCCTGGGTCTCAAACTCACAAGAAAGATTCTTCAGTGCATAATATTCAAATAACTGCAGAACACAATTATCAGTAAGACCAGAAATATCCAGCTAAGTATTTATACTCACAGGTATATGTGTATATTTCAGAATTCTCAGAAGATAGGTATAAATCTCCTCTTCCTGACATACAAAAAAAGTTTAGCATTGATTTCCTACTTGGGATTCCCTGACCTGTTCCTTCTGGTGGCTGCTCCCATTGCGTGGATTAAGAGCTCTCTAGTCTGCTTACCTTTTCCTACTCCTCCCACTCACTCAGGAGTGCTTGCCTGGCTGCTCCCTACAGCAGCCAGCTGCTCTCCTGCTCTGCATGAGGCAAGGTCCTGCAGAAATTGCTTCTGCCAAAACCAGCCAGCCAGTCAAGAGTGATCTCCAGTGCTTGCAGCCAGAATCCTGGTTGCATCTGCATCATCTAGAATAGACTGTAAGTGTTTAAAGCTACCCTGACACAGAAAAGGTGAGAGGAAAGTCACAAGACTTGAGAAAAATTGCCGAGGACTGGGATTTGAAAGGACTTAGCCAAGGTGCCATGCAAGCATGTAATGTGCACCATTTATCATCTCACTGGGGTTTTAAACAACCCAGTTCATACACACACAGCTTCCATATTACATGACTCTCCATGTTTGTTCAGTGGTTAGAGGTAGTGATCACTGAAAAATTATTTCCATTGTCTAAGTAGCGACTTGGACACTTAATTGCCAGGAACTAAGCAAGGAGAAAATTATAGGCTCAGAAAGTTAACAGGAATTTAAGGCCAGCTGAATAGATCTGTTTTATGCTGCTTAACTTCACTCAGAGACCTAACATAAATTATTCTGCAACTCTGAATAAACTTAAGTCTAGATATAGGTGCTTGTAAGATCAGGTCTTGATATAAGAAAACCATTTTGCATGAATAATTTCACTATAGAGAGGCTGCCAAAAAGAAAATATGTTTAAAAAACCTTTTCACAATTGCTCTTTTTCTGGAGTAAGTTTCAAATTTCAGAGCATAGCATCCTAGCAACCATTTCAGTGATAGATGAGATCACATGAGAAAAAAAGCTCAAACTGATCATTTCTAAATTAACCAACTCTCAAGGGCTTGTAATCATGTCTGTCATCTTCACAGTGCAGACCAAGATGCAATTTTCAATGTTTATGGTCAACACTTTAATTTCTTCTTTATTTTGCAGCCTACTAAAAAATGTGCCAAGGGCCATAAATTCTTACTAACTTTAAAAGTTAGTTAAAAGCTTCATGAAAAATAGGTATCAATAGTACTGTAAATATTCAAGCAAAACATCTCATTAAGCTGTGCTGGAGAAAGCCTGCTCAGCTGCACTCTCCATGATTTTTTACTTCACCCTGAATTCCATCTAGATTGTAACTAGATTTGCAGTGTTTTCAGTCCTGTGTGTGGTTCCATTATAAGCAGTGAATGGGGAAGACTGGCACAAAGGGAAAAAATAGGAAAAATACATTACTTCTCTGCACATTGAAAGATTTGATACTCCTGAAGTTAAAATCAGCCCCAGAATATTAAAACCCCAGACTCCATACATAAAACTCTGTAAGCCATAGTGATACTGCAATTTTTCTCCACTTTAGAGAACAAAGATTCATGTTAGAATCCCTCTTTGGCTCAGCTGTCTGATCTTGACTCATAGTGAAGGGAGGCAAGCAGAGAAGGTACTGCAAATCTTTGGAAAGCAAAAGAGTTGATGTTAATGAGAGAAGAGTTTTAGGGGACACTCCCCTTTTGGTTTTGCTTCTCATTATTGTTCAATTTATTTAATATTTCACCCGTATGTAAGAGGCAAGAAATGATCCTGACTATACAAGCAGTGGATTCTCTTGTCATAGGATTTACAGTCCATATATATGTATTATCAGTACATACAGTCCAATTTAGGTTCTT